TGTAGGTCTGCTTAGCCAAGGGGCAATCCCCATTCGCTCTTGGCTCCTCGACGTTACCTTTTTTGGGCATCAAGACGATGCGCTGGTACATCATCGATTGCCACATCGGTTTGATCTTGTTTACCGACAATATATTTCTCAATAGGACCGCTTGTGGGAAATGTTTTAAACATTAGTAGCCTATACCTATATTGAATAAGTTTTTAAGCTTATATTTTCTGCAAGGGAATTGTCCAAGCCCCTCCTCCTTCCAAGTTTCGATCTTTTGTAAGACCATCATTTTGAAAGCTTAACCAATTGAGAAATGTCCAGTATGAACCCTGCTTCGTTCAGATTTGAAGGTGAGCACTAAAATCACTCAGCTACCCAGACAATCAACCAAGTGATTTCTTTTGAAAGTGATTTATGCTGCGGGGTGGATGGTTTTACTAAAAGTTTGAATGGTTTATCTTAAATAAATATTTTACAGGATTTAAATTTCTTAACTTCTGGGTATATTTGTGGGTACACGAAAATGCTTTGAAAATTTACGTTGTGGATACGTTATTTGTTAGATAAGGAAGAATTTTAAGTTAAGCACTATTTGTTAACTTTTCTGGTGAAGTGTACATATCATGTGATGTACATCAGTAAAGTTTGACGTTTTTACTAAACAACTGGTGATGTAAATCATCCTAGAAGATATCAATCATTTACCTTTTTGTAAAAAACTAGTTTTTTGGGTGGAACTGATGGTATTTTTTAAATCCGTGGACAAAACTGAAAGTATGTCTTTTCTCGTATTGCAGATTCATCAGATAAGTGCCCAATAATCTATTGTTGCTAATTATTGTTACTTATGATATTGACTTAAGTACTTTTATATATGAGGGAACTTTTACGTCACTGTGGTAGTAAAGTCTCAGACTTTTGAGCCAGACACTTGTTCGGGTCCAGCAATCTTCACATATCACAGCAGTAAGCACATATTTTTTTACATTATTATATTTTTATTTCAACCAAGATCGTATTTACTATCTTCAGTTCACTATATAGATTAGCAGTCTATAATGATAAGGATAAGAGGTAGAGGTGTTTTTTTCTTTTTTTACAAACTAAAAACATGTGTTTTTTGAACAATCTTGTTAAATTTTTATGTTATATTATCCATTGCTCCACAGTAGACATGTGTAGTAAGATGTCAATTTTTAAAATAAATTTGAATTTATATATACTGTATAAAGAAAACAGACAGACATTTCCTTCTACTTTTGAATTTGAGCATTGTGAGATTGTATCACAATAAAAAAAAATCATTTGAAGAAGTGTGACTTGTTATTATTTATCACTTTTAGAAATATTGCATTTGCATTTTAGCGAATTTCCCTATATGGAAGTAGCTATTACCGTAGGTCTCATGGTAAGACTTAGGTCTGGGACCGATTTACTTTTTCATTTTGATGTCCCCAGAGGCCAAAAACACAATTCATTCAAATTTTTATATATGTATATATATGTCCGTGAACACGATAACTTGAGTAATTTTCATCCGATTTTGATCAAATTTGGTTTGAAGGTGTAAGGCGGGATAAACTTGAATGAGTTCGCGATCCAGCATGATCGGACCATGGGAACAGAGTTTTATGGGGTAAAAATTGGTTTTTCTCACTTTTGACCCTCAAAACACAAAATTTCCCAATTTTTCTCTAAACCTTCTTAAAGAGCTTTAAAAAAAAAAATTCAGTATATCAAAGTGTTTTGTACAATAATGGTTACGGAGAAAACTAAAAAAATGGTAAATTTAAAATTCCCATGTTATTCTTATGGAGAATATTGTAAAATGTTGTAGTTTGCTTGTTTATGGATATCTTTTGATAAAACTTGGCAAATATATTCATTTTATACTAAGCAATAATTATTTTACTTAAAACACAGACTTTAATAGTTTCCTTTTAGCAGCAAACCTAGGTACTCGTTAAACCTAATGTTATTTAAATAGATCAATTGAAAATCAATTCAGCCAAATGGAAATTCGCTTAGACGGTAGGTTTGCTGCAGCAAACCTTAACAGCAGCTTGCTGCAGCTTATTTAATGTAAGGTGACAACTATTTTGGGAATGCATTGTAAAAACACTTAAAGATGCTTAAGTGTTATTGAATAAAAAGAATGATTACGATTTATTTGGAAACAGCATTACCACCTAGGTGCGTATATTAATGCTGAATAGTGAGTATGCATGGGGGTGAGTGTAGAAGTAGAATTGAGTGAGATGATCTACACAGCTTTGTAACTAATATCAGCTGTTTCTTAAACACATGACCATTTGAAAGCTCAATGATCCAACAGCTGGACCTCAAGTGGCAAGACATGTATAAAGGATCAGGAAGAGATAATTAATCATTAATCGTACTCATGGTGGAAGGAAAAAACATAGGTGTGATATTCCCGTCATATGCTGACGTCACCCAGATTGCAAACACCATTTCACTATTAAGAAAAAAATTATAAAAACAATTACAATCAAATCAAAACAAATATATGCTTGTATGACAGTTACAACGGTTTGCAATCTGGGTGACATCAGCCTAAGGCGGGAATATCACACCTATGTTTTTTCCTTCCACCTTGAATCATACTATTGACATTTGTTTTATAAACAAGACACTAACAATATTTGCTATTTATTGTTTAAAACATTCATGATAATTTTAAAAAGATTTCTATTGTGTAATGTTCAAAAGGAAAATGTTTTGAATTTTTTTAATTGAACAATAACACCTTTCATGGCACATAATTCATTATAAAACTCACTCTGTATGTGTCATTGTCTCAGAGAGAGAATTAAATGGACTTTACGTAGCGAGCGTACAATTTTAAAACAGCCCAAATAAGGAATGGCGCAAGTTGTTTATTCTACAAAACTAAGAATAGTTCCGCAGTGGAGGGGGGACGAGACTCCTGTTATGGGGTTGCCGCAAATATCTTCTGACTCACTTGCTCGGACCGCAGAAACAGCAGCCAAAATCTTTCTACCAGCTGCACCAGTTGGAACTTTTTAGTTCCTCTAAAAGCGACAAAACCGGTAATACATTACTTCTCTACAAAAAGACTATGAAAGAAAATGAGTTTCCATTAGGCTATATAAACATGAAACGATAAAATATTTATTACCCAATAAACTTCTAGACTTTTCACCTACTGTACTTTTAAAAGCTGTTATTCTCCTCAAAAACTGAGACTAGTACCAAATGGTAAAATAAGGTTAATTTCCATTTCTTCATGTTTCTTTGTGATTCATCCATCTAAAATGTTTACCAAATCCAAATTATAATTTCGCTAAGCTTAAATCAACGAGTACCGGTCATTTACTGTATGAAATATATTTTACAGGAGAGCCAAAAATGCTTTATGAAAAATTCCAAATTAGGACAAAATAAGTGGTATGTTAAGTGACTACTTTTGTATACAGGGTGAATAAAAAGTCAAGACCCCCCCCTCTAATATTTTTCTAAGTAAATATACAGAGATATCCTTTTGGTGGTCGAGCAATCTTAGCAGGAAGTTTCATTTTATCATTTTGAAATTTTTGAGTGTCCCCCCAAAAGGGGGGATTTGGGGGGCAACTCAAATATTTTAAATGTAAACCCCCTTCAAGTGACACCTCATTTTGAAGTGTTTAAAAAAACTTAAAGAATGGTGAAAACTAGAGGTCACTATCTCTTCTCTATCCAAAATGGTAGCCCGTCAAATGTTTTGGAAAATCAATGGTAAAATTGTTAATATTGGTTGTCATTTTGGATAGAGAAGAGATAGCAAGCTCTGGTTTTCACCATTCTTTAAGTTTTTGTAAACACTTCAAAATGAGGTGTCACTTGAAGGGGAATTACATTTAAAATTTTTGAGTGTCCCCCAAAAGGGGGGATTCGGGGGACAACTAAAAATGTTTCAATAGAAACCCCTATCAAGTGACACCTCATTTTGAAGTGCTTAAACAAACTTAAAGAATGGTGTAAACCAGAGCTTGCTATCTCTTCTCTATCCAAAATGACAACCAATATTAACAATTTTACCATTGATTTTCCAAAACATTTGACGGGCTACCATTTTGGATAGAGAAGAGATAGTGACCTCTAGTTTTCACCATTCTTTAAGTTTTTTTTAACACTTCAAAATGAGGTGTCACTTGAAGGGGGTTTACATTTAAAATATTTGAGTTGCCCCCCAAATCCCCCCTTTTGGGGGGACACTCAACAATTTCAAAATGATAAAATGAAACTTCCTGCTAAGATTGCTCGACCACCAAAAGGATATCTCTGTATATTTACTTAGAAAAATATTAGAGGGGGGGGGGTCTTGACTTTTTATTCACCCTGTAATTTTGTGAAGTAAGTTTCTAGGCATATCGCAAATAAGAATGTTGTCCATATGTAAGGTTAATGAATACTGGACAAATCCATTTGTTTGAATTAGAAATAACTTATAGAAAATTTAACTTCAGTATCATTAGTCTATAGCTAGTTAAAATGATTCCATTCCAAACATAGCCTTTAAAAACTTATCAAGTACTGTGTATCTTTATTTTATATCTTGCATTTCCTCTCTCAACTAAATGGTCAGATAACAGTAACCATCTTAGTTGAGAGCTAAACTTATTTCACATTTCATTGTAGATGTTAGCTTCTGGTTTGCTAAATTAAAAAAAGGTTTAGATATGTTCCATTAGGCGATATATTTAAATTGCAAACTCTTAGCTGAAACTAGCTATGTTTGCAATTTGAATGGATTGCCTAATAGCAGGTCCGGTATTTAAACCTTTTATATTATTTTACATTCTTATAAAGTACCTATTGTCTTTGTTTCGAGATTAGAATTCCAGAATTGTAGACTTTTTAAGACTCCAATCACTAACGTCCTTTAAGACTTACATTTTTTATATATTAAACAAAAATAATTTCTTGTATATCAGACACAAATTTTTGTTTCACTTGATGGTATTAGGTCAAAATAAATAGCCAAAACATATTTTAACATATAACAAATTTTATTCATAAGTGTTAATAAAATAAACTAGAACTGAATACTAACATAAGTTACGAACAAATAGGAATTTACAGCTTGAATCCGACAAATCATAGTTTAAATAAATACCAATCATCTCGTCAAAAAGACTAGAGGTCAATCCAAATCTGGCTAAATACAGTTAGGTTGCAAATATGCGTTAAACATAAGAAATAATACAACGTTCACTATGTACAACTTAGAAGAAAAGTAATTTTGTCTTTTAAATTATTTAGTTTACAAGTACACTCTAGTCTAAGTTCAATTTTATCACCCTAATATAAATAAGCTTTTATCTACATTGATAACCGAGGGTTGACCATTGTGACAGACTTTCGACAGAAAATTAAACAGATTCAGGTACATCTCTTAACCATTTCATCCGACATTCTGCTTAAAACAATCATTCCAACATTTTACACGCACATTTCTGCATGCATCGTGCTAACACAATTATCATCTATAAAATACAAGCTAAGACATTTCTAACGATCACTTTCCTGTCTGTAACATTTCCCTAACACGTTTGTGTTAAGAGTTGTAATCATAAATACGAATAAAAATACAAACTATACCGTGCACTTAACAGCTGTTTTGTAGATAGTTATCATAGCTTATGTAACATGTGATTATATATAATACTACAATTAAAAGGCAGTGTATTAACTATTTACAGAATTATTCACTTTTTACACATTTTCCATCATGAGACAGCACAGATTTAATAGTATCATTTTGTTTGTTAGTGGGATGGATTTTGATTAATATTTTCTGTTTAACAATAGAACAATTATAAAATTACATTGTTATTTTTATTAATAGCTTTATAAAAGAGTACATATCAGTCAAAACTGCAGAATGTTAAATTTTTTCATTATTTGGGACCAGTTATAAAGAAGTTTAGCTTGCAATAGTTCTTGGAGTATACACATACAATACTTCCAAGTTTGTTACATTAAAGCATGTTACAATAATCAACAAGATAAATTAGTACAAAAAAGTAGATAAAGAATAGCACTTAAATTCCAATTGTAAAATAATTCATAAAAAATCACATAAAACACATCAATACATTTTCACAACAAAAATAAACAATTTCGCAATACGGAAAATACATGATTTCATAATCAACTGGACACATACAAGAAAAATCATACAAAAATTAAAACTTGGATCTCTTGAATTTTGACATCAAACTCTTGTTAAACATTAGCTAATTGAAGTATGGAATTACTTTGACCTAACCACGTTGGTTGGATTGTAAATGTATGTTGAGCAAACGAGTCAACTCTTAGTTGTAGACGAGCAGACCACAATATCGTGTTGCTCGGAAAGCCGCCCCGGGAGCGCACTACTCACTGGTTGTCAAGGGAATGGTTCACTGTAGAGTATCAACAGGTCAGGCCCCAACATTCACTAGGCCTCCACCGTTCACCTGGTATCCGCCGAAACTGCCTTCCGACATCTGCAACATCATTGAATGCAACTATAAGATAACAAAAAAAAATGAATCTTAAGTTTTCTTAAGCTATGTTTAATTCAAATTGATCAGTTCAACAAATACTCACAACTGTTGTCCAAATCAGATATTCTCCTTAAGTATTTGGTATATTCAATTTGAAATAAAAGATGCTTAAAAAAAATCATCATTTCAAGATGTTAGCATATTCAACATAAATCAGCAATTGACATAAACAAGCAATTGTACCGTGGCTCAACTATTGTACTATACAACCATTTTCATTCTAACTTTAAATAAGAATATGATGTCAGCTTATGACAATAACCTCAAGTTAATGCTAGTAAACTCTTCAACAATGACTCGTCACAATTCTGTAACTTTTTCAATAATTTTCATAAAAAAAAGAGGTTGGTGGCCTCTTTTAATCTTGCATTTGCCCGTCCACATAGACTACAGATCTGTGCAAAGAACGTCCAGTAAAGCAAGGGGTGAGCCGGTAGGCCTACAGTACAAAGGTAAACTGTACTGATAAAATGTTTGCAGCAGTGACCAAGATCGGAACCCACGACATCGCTGCCTTGGGCCCGAAGTCTGTTACGCCACCAACTGAGCCACTGACTCACCCCATCACTCACCAAATCCGTCCACCTTCACATCCACGATGGGCAGGATTTGAACGCAGGACCTCAGGGACCAAAGTCCCACGCTCTACAAATAGACCCCCAATGTCCCCAATGTATTTTTACAATAAAGACTTGTTTTGTTAGAACTCACATCGTCATCACTCTCTTCATCACTGCTGAGGTAGGTATCGACACCGTAGTCCTCTAGTGCCTTCATGATCGTAGCGTCCCACATCTGACCTGCCGTCTGGTACGCAGACTGTCCTGCGTAGCTCAGCAGTTCTGCGTTTATCTTGGCGTCGACTACCAGGAAATGACACAGCTGTGGGTTGCGACGTTCCACGGCCAAATGTAGACATGTCTGGCCACCCTTCCACTCCTACAAAATTGTAGCAGTCAGTAAACAAGTAACACCTCTGGTGGAAGCTGAACGGAAGTAGAAATTGAAACAGTTACAGTTATATACCACAAACTTGTACCTGTAATCTGATAGTTTGGATTGTTCAATAAAGAATTAGCACATAAGTTGTACAGAACTATAGTCTTATTTAATGCCCTAGTAATAAACTACATAGAAGGTGGCTTAAACAGTTACACAGTGCATTGCAATATAGTGCTACTAGCACACAATAAGCCCTGAATGCCATTTGTACCTAATGTGAAACTATGAATAATGACTTGATCTGATTCTAACCGTGAGTGACAAAAACCTGATGATCAGAGTGCTACTCAGGCATTACCATAACTTTAATTAATTTATATTGATTTTTTTTTTTTTTTGAATGTAATATACTGTATAAGAAATAAAAGTAGTGTGATATGTATTCCAGATACCTTTCTCCAACTAGCACAGCAATGGTGGAAAGGTAATTTTTCTTTATTCCAAACTTCACACCCTAGAACGTAAGGCTCTAGCCTGGAATAATTTTCATATTACTTTAGACTAGTCCTAGAGGTTGCGGCATCATCAGAGGGAATTTGAAACCGGAACCTTGGGAACCAAAGTCCCACATTCTACCACTGTGAAAAGATACTGGGTCAAAAAGTATCAGTGTTCCTTCTTAATTTTATTTAAAAAGTTTGTACCCTGTGTTAACACACAGAGTCCCCTAAAGAGTATACGTTTATTCAACTGTACAGCTGCTAAAGCCTCCATTCTGATACACAATAACATGAATTATTGTCTAATGACTTGTCAAAATTTACCTTTGCATTAATGTCGGCTCCTATCCACACCAGCCTATGTAGAATCTCGATGTTTTCATTGTTTGCTGCCAAATGTACGCAAGCTTGACCTAAAATCAAAAACAATATTTATATAAAAAAACTATTTTTTTTCAATTGACAGCTTCTTGAATCGTAGGAATATTTTGATATCCTTAAATCAGCTGATCGCCAGGGAAAACCCAGAGATAAACAACAATCAACAAAAAGTATGAGTGTTTTCAAATTTAAGTGCCTTATTCAACTTCTTCAAGAACCACTCAAGAAAGTCCGAAAGCACATGCCAATACTCAACATGGTTTAGACAGGTGAATACCAAGTTTGGGAAATATAACATTTAGAACTAAGTTACACCTCGATTTCGCCTTCCATTCTTGGAAATTTTGCTTAATTAAGATTTAATGATGTATTTTACTACTTTTTTTTTTTTGAGGGGTGTAACTTATGTATTTATGAAAGATACTATGACAGTGTGTGAATAGGCTTATTTAATTTGACATCAAATTGCAGTTAATTTAATACAATAGTTCAAAATAAATATCACATGCACAATAATTTATCTTGTATTTACAAGTATCTTTCGTCAAAGTATCGTTATTGATTTAAATATATCATTAAATACCAAAAACTAAATGTTTACAGAACAGTTTGGATTTTTAACTAATTAAATGCCTAGTCTTGGTAAAATAGTCAGCAAACCATATAAGATCGAAAATATGACAAAAATCAGGTAAATTAGGCAAATTAGGTAAATCATGACCAATGATTGTAAATTAGTTCCCTAAATATAATTCTATTGATTAAAACCACCACTATGTAAACAATTATGTCCATTGAAGAAATATTATCGTATTGAGTTTATTATTAATATGATAAAAAAATTTCATGAAAAGCTCTTCAGTTCTCTTCCAAATCAAACTTAAAGCTTAAATAGGACGAAAAACTATCACACAAGCCGCTATTCAGTGATGTAATCAAATCTGAATCTAGAAAGTGATATACATCACTATCACAAATGCATACAAATCATCATTGTATTATCAACCGTAATAAACAGCTGACAAACAAGCCGTGTTTGCTGAAACAGGCGCCGTCAGAGGAGGGTTTCCCTGATAGGAAAGCTTAGAAAGTTCTGCAATCTCTCTAGGGAAGTCCACGGACGATCGACACAGGTGAAAACAACGAATGTCTGCACTGTGTTACATATGTACGGGGGATTTAACTCAGGAACTACCAAAAAGCCGATATTTTGAGTACCTATTCATCGTTGTTCGGAATTCGGGATTGTTATTCGGAGCTGCCAATCAAGCCCAGAGACAGCAATTTCATCATATAGGGAAAACCGTTGTTTTCAATAGTTGCTGATGTAAAAATAATTAATTCCTGGTAAATTATTGTATTGTTAAAAGTTACTATGTGTAATAATGTAATCAATAGCTTGACTGGTTGAAATAAATATTTGGGTAATTTATATTTGAATTATTTATCGTGTTGGTGGAGTATTATATGTTGCATATAACCTAACAACCATATACAGTATACTTATTTTCCTGGCCGTGTCAATTGTGTCAATATAAAACTTTAAGGAGCAAAATGAAGACATTGTGGAGGTGAAAGAGGCATAGTATTTTTATCTTCGCTCAATTTCTTCCTTGATTTTATCGAATGGTATCACTTTAGGCCTATTTACGAACGGAACAAAACAAACCTTAGAAACGAACACATTTTAGGATGACAAAAATACAATTCGGCGAAGTAATTCAATCTACTGCGTTTTTATCAATGACTACTAAACGACTATAACACGCAACACATGCCACAAAGCACACAAACATGTACACGCGCAACCAAATCCTGATACCTTATCAACAGTGATAACCGGATGACCTTTTGCGATTATGAGACACAATCATAATTACACTGCTAAGACACCGCACTAACTTCTAGAAGTTTACGTCTATATTTTAGGATAGTTATTCATTAATTTGATTAACTGAATTACCATTGAATTTTTGCATACTTCAGAGTAGACGTCTATATCGACCAGCTGTTAAAATGTAAAAAAACCAAAGTAGATTGAACCACTCAGTGTGTGGTGGTAGTCTAAAATCATATTTCCTCTCATAAACTTTTCCAGTGTGTGACAAAACATGCGGTAAAAAGATAAACATAAAACATAAATAACACGTTTTGCGGTTAATTTGTATTAGCTAAAAAGTCAGCGAATTTTGCAGAAACGGTAATCACACCAGCGCACTCGAATTTGTAATTTCAACCGGTCATGTCCTATTCCGCCCGAGTTTTATTTCGCCCGGAGCCTAATTACTCCCAATTCGCCCGCGGTCCCAGATTAACCCCTATAATCCTCAGCTCTGAGCTCTACCTGCGTCAGGAGTCCTATTCCATCCACGGAGGTGAAGCCTCGCCTCCTAGGACCTCCTAGGAGAAAATCGCACTCCTTCAGCTTCAAAAAACGCCCCAATTTCAAAATTTGGTAAATTTCTTTCCAATTTTTACCGGTTTTCGTTATTTTTTCATACTTAAACAATTCCGTTTTGCAAATATTATTATTGCTTTGTGTTTTCCTTACTTTACTTTAAATTTTACTCATTACATGTTTTTTCGTAACTTTACTCATTGACCTCCAAAACTTTAATAACTTAATTTTAATGTCAAAATTTGAAAGTTTTACTAGCCCCATGTTATTCTTATGGAGAATAACATTGAAATTTAATGACATTTTTATGGTCATCTGAATCGTTTAGAAACGTGCTAGAGACTTGAAATTTGGTAGTACTGTATTGTAGTATGGGATCTTTAATTAACGGTGAATTATGCAAAACACCAATTTTCCAATTTTAACCCCCACAACTATCCAAAATGGCGGACATCTAAAAACGACAAAACACGTTTTTTTCAAACAGCTATAGCTCGAAAACTCTTCAAAAAACGCCCTACTTTCAATATTAGGTAAATTTCTATAAAATTTGTTTACGATTTTCAACCCCCCCCCTGAAATGTCGACTTCCCCAATGTTAATTATATAGGTACATCGGTCTAAATCACGTTTACACACTTTAACATTAGCTGGAGATATGAAATTTGGTAGGCTTGTTGGTCTTAGTCCCAAACAACCTAGAACATTCCCAAAAGTTATATTTTCCAATGATTTTCCCCCTTCCCCGATTCAACAATTTCTCCCTCCCATTATGTAATTTTTATAGGAAGTTTCTAACTTTGGTATGGACATTAGAACCGTTTACTTCAAATTTGACTGAGACTTGAGAAATGCTATGAGTGCTATCTAGACCACTCACCCCTTCCTAAATTTAAAAAAGACATTTTAAAACTTACTGTAACCTTTTTATTTCATATATCACTTTACTGATATCAACTTATTAAATATCGATCTACTCTAATGTAGTTGTTAAATCGTGTTTAGTTTAATATCGATTTACACTATAACGAACCCCATTCTCCTTATCTTGTTTGGCCTAAAACTCAGTTGTAATAATACTTTACCAATATACTCTCTTACCACAACTTTATAAAACAAAAATATAACTTGCCAACCTCCTTTAATGTATTCGTGAAATTGTTTTTATATACTGTAACGTAATATTGACTGTTTCACTGCCTGCTTTGTTACAACTCTAATCTACTAATGACGACTAACAGCTAGGGGGCCTGGGGACGGAGCCCCCAGCGAGCCAAAGGCGAGTTACATTGTATACGAAAAGTAAAAAAAAACGTCTAATAACACTTAAAACATATATTTGTGCTCTTATACTGTTATCTCACCAGACGATAAATATACATAAAATATGGCAAATGGTGATCGAGTTTGATTCGACACTCCAATCATCATTAGACCCAATAGACGAATTATTTACATTGTATAATGAAGAAAACTCAAAGGTGTGCAGTTGGGTATTTAACACTAGAAGCAGCTAACTAGTGGCCTTTGTTTGGCCATGTCTTGGATTGCAGTGTTATCATATGTTTCTGTTTGCCGTACAGAAACATACAGTTACTGTACAGTAACTAACAGTTCATGGACAGTCAATTTTATTAATCTGTTATGTCGTAAGCATTTATCAATATAGAATGATTACTGTTGAAGCGTTTCAATCCAAAGAAAAGTTCCAGATTATAAAGTGGTAGGGGTGATGGGCTACGTCCAAATTCACCAACATTTTTGGGGTCGTTTCTAATGTCCAAATTCACCAACTTTCTACCTGGAGCAGGTACGATATTTCTCCCGGCGGGCGGGGAAGGAATTCCGAATAGTTTGCCCTCGCCTGCTCCGTCTCGTCTCGGCGAGAGTGTACTGCTTAGCCCTAATAGTACTGTTTAAGCTGTGATTGTTTCAGGCAGCTTTAGGTTAGGTTAGGTTAGGTTAGGTTAGGTTAGGTTAGGTTTGGTTAGGTTAGGTTAGGTTAGGTTAGGTTAAGTTAAGTTAGGTTAGGTTACAGTTCACTCTCGCCGAGACGGGACGGAACAGGCGATGGCAAACTATTCTGAGGGAATTCCTTCCCCGCCCGCCGGAAGAAATATCGTACCTGCTAAAGGTAAAAAGTTGGTGAATTTGGACATTAGAAACGACCCCAAAAATGTTGGTGAATTTGGACCTGGCCGGGGTCATGGGTAGGGGAGGGCTTTTACATAGCTGGGGGTGGGGCTTCGCCTCCGTGGATGGAATAGGACTCCTGACGCAGGTAGAGCTGAGGATTATAGGGGTTAATCTGGGACCGCGGGCGAATTGGGAGTAATTAGGCTCCGGGCGAAATAAAACTCGGGCGGAATAGGACTACACGATTTCAACCATATAATTTTATTCTAAGCCTGGCAAAAACCTTAATGGAATGCCAAGACCTAACGAAAGGTTGCATATTAACTTCCCTTCGGAGCGGCTAAGCAGCGTAATTAATTGCTGCCAATTTACAATGTCCAGACAAGTTTAACAACCTTATGGATATTTATAGGCATGCACTGTGGATGCGATACTAACGTCGGCACTAGTGAGTAGGCCCTACTACAACTATCCGCAGTACTATCCTGATAATTATTC